CTTCTAGAGAGTTTTACCAGATGCAACTCCACCATATCTCCCCAAATTCTATTATCCATATTTTGGGGTTCATTGCCCTTTGTGAGCTTTTCTTGTCTACGAGGCCCACTTTGGGGTTATGATGAAAGTATTTTTGCCTAATTCCTTTTTCAGGGATGGCTCAATTTTTGAGGTTGGAGGAACCGAAGTGTGTCGAATTGTCGGGGCAGGTTACCTGCCCGACACCTCACGGGAGGACGTTGAGACACGGATAAGGGAGCCGGCCATCCAACGCTACCCATCCGATCCAAGAAAAATTTAAGTATGGACGTTCAAATAGCCGCATATATAGTCTAAAATAGTTCGAATGTCCAAATGTAGTAGTAGTTCTAATTTAGAAAAGTTCAAATATTACACTTCGACATTGTCGTCCCCCTTAATCGCCCACAGAAGCTCAATCAGATCTACCTTTAGTTACTCGTGAGTTGCTCGATGCCAAATTTGTTGATACCATTGAACAAACACTTCAAATGTGGCCAGATTTTGGTCTAGAAGTTCGATTGGATTACCCATGTTCTCAAATTCAAGACCCACAGCAGGATCCTCACCCTCATCCTTCAAGATCATGTTGTGCATGATCACACAACAGGTTATCACCTATAACAAGGTCTCCAGATCCCATTGTTTAGCAAGTCCACAAACAACTGCAAAATATGTCTGCAAAACTTCAAATGCCCTCTCAACATCCTTTCTAACTGCTTCTCATCATTGGGCAAAGTGAAACATTTTTTGGCAACCTGGGTTAGAGATGGTGTTCACAAAGGTAGCCCACGGGTGATACATATCGTGAACCAGATAGTAGTCCATGTTGTACTCATGACCATTGACAGTATAGTGGCAAGGAGAAGTGTTTTCTTCAGTCAGCCTAGCAAACAATGGTGATTGTTGTAGCACATTGATGTCATTGTGAGACCCATGCATGCCAAAGAAAACGCGCCAAATCCAAAGAACATGTGATGCAAGTGCTTCAAGAATGATGGTGAGCTTCTTAACATGACCCTGATATTGCCCTTGTAAAGCTTTCGGGCCATTCTTCCATTTCCAATGCACGCAATCAAGAGATCCAAGCAAACCTGGCCACCCTCTTGCTTCCGAGAATGCCAAGATCTTGTCGATGTCTGTCATAGGTGGTTCTCTCAGGTACTAAGGTTCAAACATCTCGACCACGGCAGTTACAAACCTAACGATTGCATCTCTGCATGTGCTCTCGGACATCCATAGGTACTCGTCCCACGAATCAGCGATCGTTCCATATGCAAGCATCCGCAGTGAGGCCATGCACTTCTAGTAACCAGAGAACCCAATCCTTCCAACGGCGTCCTTCTTCAAGATGAAGTACTCATCAAAGGACCAGACGCCATGGTAGAGATCGAAGACATTTTTGCGCATCCGAAATCACCGGCAGAAATTGTTAGCAAAGAAGGGCATCAGTGGCAAAGTAGTCGTCCATCAGCGTCAGGTGGTCGCACGCCCGGTTGCGTTTGAGCACTCGATGACCCTTGATCTATTCCTTGAAATTGAGAACATGCTCATCCGCACGCTCCGCATCTACAAGCACCACTTGCATCATCGCCGGCAGAAAAACTGAAGGAGAGAAAATGGGAGGATGGAGGTGCGGGCTCCTAGAGGAGTTTGGGTGGGCTGGGGATGTCGGAGTCCTACATGGCTGATGTCGGGAAAAGGTACATCCAGACCTCTCAGTGGACCGATACAGATTCGCGTTGGATGGCTAAATACATTCGGACAGCATAGTCCAGAAGGTAATGGGCGGTTTGAGGATCCGCTTTGGAGATGACCTAATATGGCGTATTCTCCTTATACAGTACTTTAGATGTTACATGTGTCCAACTAAACGCGTCGCTAGGTGATCATAAAACCTTCTTCGTGGTTCAAAGCCTCCATCAACATGTAGGATAGCACCAACTATTCTAACCACGAGAAAAATCTTTGTCAATTCTCCCCATGTTTGCATTGTCATAACCTTTACTCCTCTCAAATGATAATTGCCATAAGTCATGTCCAGGGCACTCCGGTCCTGACATTTTTTGTGCAATTCCAGTCATGTAAGGATGACAAATTCTAGTGACACAGGGCAAGTTTCTGTCAAAAATAAACCAAAACATGAAAGTTTTCATGCTTAACTAAAGTTGCCACCCTCGTGTCACTAAACTTGCCATATAAAGCGTACGGAGTTGCCATGTGCTCGTGCCACACGCCAGGTCATTACTCTTTCAAATGGGGCCGCGCCGGCAAAGCGGTATGCTGAACAGGAAGGTAAAAATGTGTGCCTCCTAGATCCGCCCAGAGTAAAGGCTTGACGTATGCAAAAATGGCACCCTTCGATCCAAAACTCATCTACCTGATTATATTGATCCCGCTCAGCAAGCTTTTATTAAGGATCATAGAATTTGTGATAACATTATTATTTCCCAAGAAATCACTCACTCCTTTGCTCCTAAGTCTTGGAATCACAATGCTTTTATGATTAAAATTGATCTTGCAAAAGCTTTTGATCGTATTGAATGGAATATCATTAACTTATGCATGCATCTCCTCGCCTTCATTCGCAGTCATTATCAATGGTTAGCCAACTCATTGATTTAAAAGTAATAGGGGTATTAGACAAGGATGTCCTATGTCCCCCTATCTTTTTGTGCTGGGCATTTATGTACTTTCTCTCGCTCTCAATGATTCTATGGATGCTAACCACCTTCAAGGTATTTTGCTTGGGCCAAATTGCCCCATGTCCACTCTTTGCTCTTTGCAGATGATCTTCTGGTATGTGGCCAAGCTAATTTGCAAGAAGTTCATACGATCGCTCACATCATTCAACATTTTTGTGCTCTCTCATGCCAAACTCCGAATTGGTCCAAGTCGGCCGTCTTGTTTAGTGCTCATGTTAATCAAACGGTCACTGCAGATATTAAGAGAATTTTCCCTGTTCCTTCCATGGACGACAATTTTATTCATTTGGGCCACCCTTTAATTCTTCCTGCCAAAAAATAGAGTTGTTGCTTACAACTTTGTCCTTGATAGATTCATGGCCAAGCTTCCTACCTATAAGGCTAATATGCTTTCTCATGCAGCTAGGTTAGAGCTTATTCGGTCTGTTTTTTCTTCCATTCTGGTCTATTACATGTCAAATATTTTTGTCACAAAAAGTTTATTTCCAAACTCACTTCTATTATCAGAACGTTTTGGTGGACAAGCATTGAAGAGGACAATTCTTCGAGAGGTATTTGCCTTAGGGCATGGAAGGGTATATGTACTTCTAAGGAGGGAGGTTTGGGAATAAGAAATCTTCAAGCCATGAACCAAGGTCTTATTCTTGCCTCTGCAGGAGACCTGTTAATTCTCCCAACTCACATTTCTCTCGTGCTCAAATCTAAGTATTTTTCCGATACTTCCATATGGACTGCTACTTCTAGCCCTCCGAAATCAGCTTTCTAGTCATCCATTCTTAGCACGCTCCCTAAACTCAAAGCTCATTGCTTATAACACATCAACCAATGTAACATTTCCATTTGGAGTACCCCTTGGTGCTCGGCCTGGACCAATATTCATAATCACCTTATTATCCAACCTCCTAGTTTCATCTATCCTGCTCAAGTTAGTGACCTTTGGCTGCCGGGGCAAAAGGCATGGAACAATGATCTTATCTATTCTCTTTTTGAGGAGCCCACGGCGTCAACAATCATTCACACTACCATCATCCAGGACAATTGCCGAGATATTCTTGTTTGGGATCTTGCTCCTAATGGGAAGTCTGGCTTAAAGTCTACTAATAAGTTATGTTTGCAAGATATTCAAGCACAACCGAGGAATCGGCCTTTTCTGGTTTCTCATCAGGTTAAAGCTCTTCTAAAGCAAGTTTGGAAACAAAAACTGATGGCCCCAAAGGTCCAAACTTTTGCCTGAAGGTTGCCTTGGAAAGCCCTTCCAACAGGTTTGAGAGCTAGTCGTATCTCCATCCATATTTCGATACAGTGTTGTCGTTGTGCACAAGACAAAAATCAAACACATATTTTATTTTCTTTTTTCCTTTGTGACTTTGCTAGAGCAGCATGGTTTGCTCATCCTTGATACTTTAAAAGTGATCTTTTAACAAAAAAATCATCTTTCTATGCAAAGTGTTGTTTCTAGCATTTTCTGTGGTGCATATGGAAGCCCAAATGTGATTGTCTTTTTGATAGGAGGTGATCACTCCCACATCAGCTACACATGCCTGCCTTGGCTTTGGACGACCAGCAAAAGTTTAAGTGGCTCCCTCTTTAGATGATCGCAATGTCGTTACTACTACTAGTTCCCCTGATGGTGCTATTATGTTGCCACCACAGGAAAGCACTCTTAAAACTGATCTTGTCGATGGTGCTAAGATCTATTCTGATGCTCCTTTTAGGTGCTCAAAAGTTCCAGGTTTACCAAATGGCATTGGTGTCATTCACAAATTCATGCAAGACCAAGAATGTCGACGTACAGCTCAACCTCAGCCCTGATCACTACTTCGCCCCTTCAAGCAGAAGCGCTCGCTCTCGATAAATGGAGTTGCTCACAATGATGCTCGCCAGGTTCTTAGTAGTGCTACTAAACCTGTCTTCAGCTGCTTTGGTTCAGCTCACAGGAGCATGCTATGCCCTGTAACTTCTATCCTCTCTACCTTGCCTCTACAGGGCTTTGTACTTCATGCTGTATTCTGCTACTGAGCTGGATATATTGGCGCTTTGAGCGCCTTTTCTTCTTCAAAATAAAAAAGGCTTTGAGCTTTCTCAAGCTGAAAACTCAAACAATTCAAGTGAAAATTTGCAAGGCAACATAGCCCAAATTTTCAGGGCAGACGATCATTAGGCAGCATGAATGACAGGCACCTAGTGAAGAATCAAACTATTACTCTGCTGTCAAATATTCGGTACCCACATGCACATCCGTAAGGTTAAATAAACTATCTACAAGCACGCTTCGCTTCAGTCGCTTTCCTGAGAGTAGAACATCTGCTTCAGAGCACGGGGCAGCTCCAGGACAATCTCCGCGTATGCTGAAACATAGAAAAAAAATTGGGGAGCAAAAGTACATATAGATCAGAACAAGCTCAGCACAGAGTTGTATGCCTTGACTACGAAGAGAGAGGCAATGGTTAAGATAGGAGGAACCTTCTGGCAAACTCAAGGTCTTCAACGCGCTCTCGGCATAGGAGAGTCGAGATGGTACAGGCTGAGCACGACGGTCTGCTGCGGATATTCTCTTTGCAGAGCGAAGCGGCCACGCCAAGACCCTCGCCTGACTAGGCAGGGTCAAGATTAGATCTGAATATCGGATACTCACTGTAACCTTGCTGCTCAAGTCACACAGGAGAAGAAACTTCAGTCTCTAGAGTGTACAGTACGCAGTTTCAGTATATAAATGCTACAGATAATATAAAGGAGAGCACTGTGTGGATTAGTATATTTTAGTATGAGCATGGTTGTACTAAAGCAAAATCTAACAGTAGAGTGTGGCCTTACCATTCAAAATCTTCCAATGTAAACTCTATCAAGGTATATGGAAGACTGTAGAACAATTCCCCAATTTGGTTGCCATAGAGCTCCTTGATAAGACGAACCTTGAACATGAATTCAATGGAAAGCATTCGAATTATAAACTTCACTGTGACCAACGCAAAGGTCATGAAGGCCAATATAGCTGTTTCAAATTTCGAAGTAGAATCACGGGTAATAAATATATTTTATTCACCTTATTTCAATTCAAAGTTCATTATTACAGGTTATCAGCTAGAACCTGTGGTTTCAACCAGGATGTTCTCTCTTCTCTAGTCTAGCGGTGAAGCAAAAGTTGTGTGCCCGAAACACTTAACAGCGGAAGGTACTTAAGAATTACATGTATACGTCATGTGTAGGTAAATTAGCTCGATGAGGTGTAACTATGGAAATAATACCACCAAAGCAGTAGGGGAGGTTAGTTGGACTGTTGTGGGCCCCGGCCCAAAATAATCTTAGTTAACCCAGAGTATATATCCCCCTATAATCTTAGTCCATGGCCCAATTGGTTTCTCTTCTTCAGCTCTTCTCCAGCCCCCCGGAAGAAGGCAATCTTGGGCCATTTTGCTCGGCTAGATCCCTCACTCAGCCCAACGGCCACATCCCACAAAACGACAAGCCAAACAACAAGGGTCACTCATCACCGGACTAATTAACGCTCTCCTCTCACACCCCTAGCCCAGTGACAGGGGCCCCTTCCCCTTAGCGGTATGCAGGCTACCCTAGCCCATCAAGATCTGCCTCTTGGGGCCAAGCCCATGAGAGGTGCTGACCTAGAAGAGGAGCCCCTCTTCCCCTGTCCCGAGTGAGCCACCATATCTGAGACACACACTCACGCAGGCAACAAGACAGGAAGGGAGGCACTGTCTGAAGGTACCCATCTCCCGATTCAACATGGTATCGAGACAGGCGACAACGGTGGCGGCGTAGTCCCTCGCCGGAGAGGCGGAATGGGGCCCAGCGGGGTCAGGCGAGAAAGGAGGCTGCGTGTGCGAGGCGGCGGGTCTGCTGTGGTGCGTGCGGCGGAGGCGCGGCTGGGCTCGAGGAGCTACGACGCGGCCGGGAGGGAGCTGCTTCCTCTTGTCCTGCTTCGCGTCCTTGGGGTGGCTAGCTGCGAAGGGGGCGGCCGAGGAGGGCTGCTGGGGGCTGTGCAGGCGGCTGCGGCGGGAAGAAAAGGAGGAAGAAGGCGGTGGCGGATTTGGGCTGTGTGCAAGTCAGGCTACGGCGGGGAGCTGCTGCTGTTGGTGCTGCTGAACAGAGGAGGAACTGCAGCTGCTGCTGCTGCCTTGTGCTGTTCCTGGAAGCTTGCTGAGCTGCTGGTGCTTGTGCGGCTGGTTCTTGGTGCTGCGGCAGAGGAAGAAATAGGTGCAGCCTACTGGACTGCTCGTTCTGGAACAGGAAGAGCCTGGGCTGGACCGCTTGTGTGCTTTACAGAGTTTTTTTTTCTCTGTGGACTTGCTGTTGTGAGCTTGGTGTTGTGGTGGTGCTGCTGCTGCTGCTTAAGAAAGAAGACTCTCTGAGGCTGAGTTTTGCTGTTGCTGCTTATCCCGCCAAACGATGGCTGAACCAACTGGTCTTGCCAAGGCTTTGGAGAAGCTCGCTAAGATCCTCGCGGAGTCCAACTCTGGGGCCATCGTTCCTCGACAGGAAGTGGCTCAAAAGCTTGAAATGTCGCCTTTGGACATGAAGCTAGAGGGGGCAACAAATTATTTGAGCTGGTCCAAGAGGGCTTTGTGGGCTGTGGAGCAGAAGGAGCTTGATGGATATTTGTTGGGCACCGTTGTAGAACCAGGGGACAAGAGTAGTGCAGAGGGCAAGAGGTGGAAGGTCATCCACTCTGTACTTATGGTGTGGTTGTTGAACTCCGTGGTGCCCTCCATTGGATGCTCTGTGGAGGGGCTATCCTCACCTGCTAAGATATGGAAGATTCTGTCCACTCAATACTCTGCAAGGGCAATGTCATGCTCATTGCTCAGACTGAGGACAAGATTAGGTTGCTGCGCCAAGATGATGGCATGTCAGTGATGACATACGTGGCAGAATTGCAGGCTTTGTGGGCTGACCAGGATAACTGTGATCCCGTGGAACTCTATGACGCGGCTTCAATCGAGTCAGGGCATAAGTGGATGGCACGCAGGCGTGTGCTGAAATTTTTGGCTGGCCTCAAAGGTTGCTTTGATGGCAGGAAGGCTTCCCTGTTGCACCAACCTAGTCTGCCTACCATTCCCGAGGCTATTGCAGTGATGACTCTAGAGGAGGTGCGCCTATCCCTTGAGCATGCAAACGTGAAGGTTGTGCCAGCTTCGACATTTGCAGTCACTGAGCGCATGGAGTGGGGAGATCCCACCAAATGTCATATCTGTGGGGAGGTAGGTCACTGGAAGAGAGAATGTCCAACTCGTGGCAGAGGCAGGGGATATAACAGAGGGGGAACAGGCAGAGGTATAAGTGCTAGAGGCAAAGGTGGATACTCAGAGACCTCATGGGGCCAGGCTTCTAGAGGCGGAGGTGGCTACTCAGGACACTCAGGGGGTCAGAGGGCTCACATGGCCGTTGCAGGAGACACTGGGACGTCCAAAGGCAAAGATGTAGATGATGTTGTCTATGGAGACTTTGCTCACTGGGCCTCCACTGATGAAGGTAATCCGGAAAGAGCATCTCTTGCTACTAATGAGAGTGCTCCAGAGTGGGTTCTTGACTCTGGAACATCTAAGCATGTTGCTAGTAACTCCTGTGTGTTCGAGTCTTACACTAAGCATCCTCCTTCTCACACGGGCACTATACAAACGGCTGATGGCACAAAACAACCAGTCATAGAGGTTGGTACAGTAAAGTGTACTCCGACCATTTCCCTATCGTCAGTTTTACATGTGCCAGCCTTTCCTGTCAATTTGGTCTCTTTCAGTGCGCTCATTGATCAAATGGACTGTCGGGTGATCCTTGACAAGTTCAGTTGCTTGATTCAGGTGCGCCAGACGAGCCAGACGGTTGGGACTGGCACCAGGAGTAGGGGGCTCTGGTACATGGATCAGGAGGTGCAACCGGACTTGGTGTGTGCTGCGACCATGGAGGATAAGGAGAAGCAGGCGATGATCCATCACTGTAGGATGGGGCATGTATCTTTTGATAAGATGAGTAGAATATTTCCGGATGTTATGTGTGGAATAGGCAAAGGCAAGCTGACATGTGATGCTTGTGAATATGCAAAACACACACGTGCCTCATATGTGAGTAAGGGGCTCAGGAGCATATCTCCTTTTATGCTTATTCATTCGGATGTATGGACTAGCCCAGTGGTGTCATTGAATGGGAAGAAGTATTTTGCTACCTTTATTGACTGCTATTCTCGCATGATTTGGATTTACTTGATGCGTCACAAGGATGAGGTGTTTAGCTGTTTTCAGAACTTCCATGCTCTTGTAAAGAACCAGTTTCAGGTACAGGTCAAGGTGCTCAGGACAGAAAATGGAACGGAGTATGTGAACAACATTTTTGGGGCTTTCATGGCTGACCACGGGATTCTTCAAGAATCGTCATGTTCTTGAGGTTGCTCGGTCGTTGATGTTTACCATGAATGTGCCTAAGTTCTTGTGGGATGATGTAGTTATGACAGCCACATACTTGATCAACCGGACACCTTCCAAAATACTTGGCATGAAATCTCCGTCTGAGTTGCTCGTTGGAGATAATAAGTTTGTTGTTCCCCCAAAGTTGTTTGGCAGTACCTGCTTTGTTCGTGATCACCAACCATCAGTTGGCAAGCTTGATCCTCGGGCAGTGAAGTGTGTCTTTCTGGGATACTCGTCGAGTCAGCAGGGGTATAAATGTTGGTGTCCCTCTGAAAAACGCAGGTTTGTAAGTATGGACGTTACGTTCAGGGAGTTTGAGCCATTCTATGGTGAGCCGATTGATCTCAGTTTGCTGTTTGCAGAGCTTGACCACCTACACACCCTGTGCATGATGGTCAAGAGGGGGAGAAGGATGTGCCTCATACTCACGGTGATTCTGTGGACATTAACACTGATAATGATGTGTGCAGGCTAAGGTTCAACTAATAGTGGGTACAATTCCGGTTAGTACCACCACTGATGATGATGTGCAGGCTCATGTCGAGCCAACTGTCGATACACTTAAGATTGGTGCTCTCCAGGTTCCTGTTCGGGATCGATGGCAGACGAATACCCTGGTGTACTCTTGACGGCAACCACAAGTGCAGGGGGGTAGCAAGGCAGGGGGCAAGAGTGCAGGGGGAGCAGCAAGGCAGTGAGGCAAGAGTGCAGGGGGAGCAGCAAGGCAGTGAGGCAAGCTCATCTGACACAGTGGAGCTGCCCATTGCGTTGCGAAAACCTACACGTGAAGCGGCAAGGAAGGGTGAGGTAGCAAGGAAGGCTCTGCCAAAGGATGATGCTTGTGATGACCTTGATATTGGCAATTTTGTGTCTTACAAGGCTTTGTCACCTTCATACAAGGCGTTTGTTGCCTCTCTGCAAACTGTGTCTATCCCTAAGGATTGGAAGGCTGCAAAGCAAGATCCGAAGTGGCGTGAATCGATGATAGAGGAGTTAGAAGCATTGAAAAAAAAACAAGACATGGGTGCTAACCACATTGCCGGCAGGAAAGAAAGCAATGAGTTGTAAGTGGATTTTTACTGTGAAACAGAATCCTGAGGGCAAGGTGGAACGGTATAAGGCTAGATTGGTCGCCAGAGGATATAGGCAAGCTCCGGTTGCAAAGATGAACACAATACGGGTATTGGTCTCGTGTGCTGCAAACTTTGGATGGAAATTGCACCAGTTAGATGTCAAGAATGCCTTCTTACATGGTGACTTGAAAGAAGAGGTATACATGGAGATACCGCCAGGTTTTGGCACAGAACAGACTACGGGGAAGGTATGCAGGCTGAAGAAATCCTTGTATGGTCTGAAGCAATCGCCGAGGGCATGGTTTGATAGGTTTAGATGAGTTGTTTGGAATATGGGGTATGGCCAATGTAATGGTGATCACACGGTGTTCTATAAACACACTGATAAGAAGATCACCACTGTTGCAGTGTATGTTGATGATATCATCATCACCGGAGATGATGAGGAGGAAATAAAGAGAGTGAAGGGGTGTCTGAGCAAGGAGTTTGAGGTAAAAGACTTGGGAAATCTAAAGTACTTCCTTGGCATAGAAGTGGCTCGAACAGAGAAGGGAATATCTTTGTGCCAACGAAAATACACCTTGGATCTTTTGAGTGACATGGGCATGATGGGATGTCGTGCAGCCCCTACTCCGATTGAACAAAATCATCAAGTAACAGCATAATCAGGTGAGCTACTGAATAAGGAAGATTATCAAAAGCTGGTTGGGAGGTTATTGTACTTGTGTCATACCATGCCTGACATTACGTATGCCGTGGGGGTGGTGAGCAGATACATCCATGAACCAAGGAGTGGGCATCTTGATATTGTTCACAGAATCCTGACATACTTAAAGGGACTCCGGGTAAAGGGTTGTGGTTTGCGAAGAGTGGACATCTTGAGGTGGATGGCTATAGTGACTCTGATTGGGCTAGCTATCAAGATGATAGACAATCAACTTTAGGCTACTGTGTGTTTGTGGGAGGAAATTTGGTGTCATGGAGAAGCAAGAAACAGACTGTTGTGTCTAGATCAACAACAGAAGCTGAATATAGAGCATTATCTCAAGGGTTGTGTGATATGCTCTGGGTGAAGCACCTACTATGCGAGTTGAAACTTTTGAGAAAGGGACCCTTAAGGGTGTGGTGTGACAATCAGCCAGCTATAGCCATTGCTAATAACCCAGTTCAACATGATAGGACGAAGCATGTGGAAATTGATCGCTTCTTCATTAAAGAGAAACTTGATGCTGGGATCATCAGCCTTACTCATGTCAGCTCTGGGCAGCAGTTTGCGGATTGCTTGACAAAGGGACTGGGAACAAAGGACTGTAACTTGGCGTGTGACAAGATGGGGATGATAGATATCTGCCACCCATCTTGAGGGGGAGTGTTGAACCGGTATGGGCCCTAGCCCATCAAGATCTGTCTCTTGGGCCCAAGCCCATGAGAGGTGCTGACCTAGAAGAGGAGCCCCTCTTCCCTTGTCCCGAGTGAGCCGCCACATCTGAGACACACACTCACGCAGGCAACAAGACAGGAAGGGAGGCGCTGTCTGAAGGTACCCATCTCCCGATTCAACAGGAAGCATTGTGTTGCAAGCGACTGAAGCGAGGGTCTGTGTGAGAAGCTAGTCTTGGAGAGGGTCACCTTAGCCAAAGTGCAGAGTTGCCATGGTCCTTTTGGATTTTGGATGGGAAAACAGCGATGAGTTGTTATTCCCAACATATAGAAAGATTAAAGGTCACATAGCAGTGGGCGTCTTTCAAGTACATGGAAATTTCCATCTCTAATAGAAGGAATATGGATACGGCATAAGTTTGCTTCACAGCTCACATAACGCAATGATGTCCAAGATCTGTTTTTAAACAACATGAGTACATCATAACTACAGCCCTATAATTCAAGCATAAGCATACAAGGTTTTATCACCTGATTTCTTGCATTTCACAATGGATAATATAATAAAAGGGAGGTAGTGTGTACAGGCAATTTACATTTGGGAGAAATTCCTAAATCTGATACTGACCTGTTCTCTCCTGTCAATATACGACTGCAAAATTTCTTCAAGATGATCAATAAACCTCTGCAAGGAAAAAGGAGCCATGTAAGTAGATATAACTATTTGAATAATTGAAAAGAAAATGCAAGGGGCCCATGAGGAAACTTTACGATGGCGTTAGATGACAGGTGATCAGTTTCTACTTCTCGAATCGGCAGAAAGAAAGGTAAGGTGTGTTCAGTCACAGTCATCTTTTCAAGGAATGACTTGCTCTCCAAAACGCAATGATAAATTTCACAAGGCTCTCCTGCAAAATATGATGTGCATGTTATTTAGTGCAGCAAACCATGTGTCTAGAGTTTCTATGTTCTTATCTTCGTAATTTTTGATAACTTATCAAGTTATCATGCTTATGTTGTAATAGCATTATTCAGAATGTCAGGGTTTGCACAGTGAAATAAGCATGTTCTGATCTGAAACAAACTAATTCTATGAAATAACATACTGGTGTTTACATACTGACTGATTTGCAAAACATTGCCTGCGCATATCTTACACAAAGCTTTGCATGGTACAATTCAGACATTTCATGAAAAAAATATGATACTGAAAACGTTAAGCATAATCACCAGCGAAGAATGTCTCATACTGTATACCAATTCTGGCACCATCCAAACAATAGATAACCTACAAAATAGAAAATAATTAGTCAGATTAACTGACAAAATAATAGAAGTAATGGAATAGGTGCATTAGTTCAATATAACATGCCAAGTCATGAACATAATTTCATTACAAGGAAGACAACAACATAATGCCATGTTACAAGGTAGATGAAACATGATCTGAATGCTAAATTGATGAAACATGATCTGAATGCTAAATTTAGTTTTGGTGGTCACTTGTATGGTTGTAGCAATCCTAGGAAGAGAACAAGAATGAGAAATTGTGACACAGTGCACCCTGACCCTCACCGCACTATTGGTCTGTCATTCATGTTGTAGCAAAAAGAGTTAGGTGAACTGGAATGAACTGATCACAGAACACTATAATATACCAACTACATCTCAGATCCAGATTAACTAACCATTTTGGAATAACATCAACCCTGGTCCCCCCACCCACACACAAGCCATTGGCAGCAGATGAAAAATATCAACCACCCAATGATAAACTACAGTATAAAGAGTAGTCTTTATGGTAGCCAAAGCTGAAATCTAGAGAATAAGGTTACCTTATTTCTGATTCTATAAGTCGTCCTTGATTGAAATTGAGAGTCTGTTGGAACATTTGCCAGGTTGACCATCGCCTTCCTTTCAGCCTCTATATGGACCTGGTCTATGAGATAAAAGCAAACTTGTTATAAACTCAAAATGCATAGAGTGAACGGTACGTTTCATGTGGAATCAATATGAGAACAATATGGTACTTTCAGATTAAGTACCTTCTCACGGATAGTTGCCAGCAAGCCATCATTCCACTGCTCATCATCTATTGAAATCTCTACAAAAATGCAAAAGCCTAAGTTTGAGAAATGAAGCTGTAGGATAAAAACTGATTAAAATTATACTACTATCACTCTATCAGACTGTATGAGAAGACTAAATATGTGTCATACTGGCTGTAACGACACAATACAAGAATATGAAAATACTTCCAAGAAATACAAGATAGTAAATAAAGGATCTGCCATTTTATCCTCAAGAAAAGAGGCAGCAATGTGCAAAGCAGCATACCACACATAAGTAAGTGTGAAACAATCAGTCAGATAAATATTTCCAACTAATTACAGATGAGTACTTTATAACTAAGTGTGGAATGAAAGGTTTTGGTTCATGTTAACCCAAATATGGTTTTAGATTTTTCCAGCAAAGTAGATCTATGAATTTCAGTACACATATCGTTAAAGAAAAGAGGCAGCAATTTCAGAGAATCAAAGTACTACTAACATAGTACTCCCTCCGTCCCAAAATAAGTGTCTTGAGCTTAGTATAAATTTATACTAGAGCTAGTACAAAGTTGAGACACTTATTTTGGGACGGAGGGAGTATTAATTATGCTATGCATTTAGTAAATAGCTAAGGCTGCTTAAGTTCCTACATAATGAACGCTAGTTCTGGTCAAATGGAACTGGAAATAATCATTAAAGATCTGTGAGTGTTTTCGCGAAAATGGTGGAGACTTTGTGTGGGTTAACAAGTTATCAATTTGATGCTAAAGCCGCAAATAATTTTTTAAATGACAACTAGTTCGTCTAAGCATGGAAAGTAAACAAAGGCTCCTGAGTTCCCGAAAAATTGCAGAAGGAGATAATATAACAAATAAGTTCCACATACTATTTGGTACTGGAAGTTGCTGACAATCGTATTTTTCTAGAAGGTAAACACCAAAGGTGCTGAAGCAAACTGTACCTTCGGTTTGTGCAACTCGTGCAGCCTCAAATTCTTTCTGTAGACGCTCAAAAATCAGCTTATCAGAATCCCTAAAATAGTAGT